AACTGAACATCTGGAATTAATGCATTCATGCTCACTTACTAAAGCTAGAGGTGGCCGGCACTGTGTCGTTATCCTATTCCCTTGAATGTGGTTTTCAGCTTCTTTGAAGACCATCTCAGCAGACATAATGCCGTATCCTTATGGTAAAAACCCATCTGCTTTCTGGGGCAGCCCCTCTGTCTCCATTCCAGGATGGAACTGTTCTTTGCATCTTGGGTCTAAATTAGTGAAAGCCTATCTCCCTTGAGTTTCTTTTTCTCTTAATTAATGCCTTTATCATTTCCTAATGTCTTTCTAGAACCACAGGAAGTTATTTTATACCAATGTCTTGTGTCCACTTAGAAGCAGACCAGTTGTTCAGTGGAAGGTAAGGAAGCTCCAGGGAAAAAATTAGTATTCACATCATACTAATGAAGCACATAAATTATCTAGAAGGATAGAGACCTTTAGGTGCAGTGTAATAGAATAATCAAAATAACCCTAAGCTAGGAAAAGGGGAACCTAGCCTTTGTCCAAACTCTGCATCAATTTACCAAGTTGTCTTGGTGAGATGACTTAACCTCCTTGTGGCATCATTCAGAGAAGTGAGTGATGGGGACGAGATGTCTGAGCCCAACTTCCATGTTGGATATTCAGAGGTATATTTTGTGTTACCACAAAAGAGGACTGCCTGCCTCTGGGGCCGGCTCTGTGGTGTAGCAGGTAAAGCCACCGCCTGAAGTGCCAGCATTTCATATAGGCTCTGATTCAAGTTCCAGCTGCTCCACTTTTCATCCAGCTCTCGGCTATGGCCTGAAAAAGCAGTAGAAGATGGCCCAAGTGCTTGGGCCCCTGCACCAATGTGGGAGACCTGGAGGAAGCTGCTGGCTCCTGGCTTTGGATCAGCACATTTCCAGCCTTTGCTGCCAATTGGGGTGTGAACCAGTGGATGGAAGACCTCTCTCTCTCTCTCTCTTTCTCTCTCTTTCTCTCTCTTTCTCTCTCTGCCTCTGTAACTCTGCCTTTCAAATAAATACAGTAAGTCTCTAAAAAATTAAAAGAAAATAAAAAATAAAAGATTATCTGAATATTGGGTGTAGTATGAGTCAAGGCCAAGAAAATTTGGTCCCTCATTAGGATAAGAAATGCATCTGTACGATATTGAAATAAATGAATACAAGAGTGTCGCTCCCCCTCTTCATGGAGGAACGACACTAAACCCTGCCTAGGCTTCATATCCGAGTCACGGCACCATTATGTCGCTCCCCGTCTTCGTGGAGGAACGACACAGGACCCTGCGCTGTTCTTTTGTCTGCTCGGCCCTCCCCGGGTTTGCTGCTGGTTCTTCCCGGGTTGGCTACTGTCCCTTCCACCTCCGTGGAAGGGCAGTTCCCCCTGCCACATTCCCCACTTCTGTGGGGGAGCGGCACACCGCCAGCCGGCTCTCTCGGGGGCTGCACAGGTGTTCCTCTTAGATGTTCCTGGTGCATGTCGTCTCTCTCCTCTTTTATAGTCCTCCTCCGCCAATCCCAACTCAGCTGCCCACACGCCGAGTACACTGCTCTCCTCCAATCAGGAGCAGGTCCTACAGTTTATTGGTTGAACTGGAGGCAGCTGTGCAGAAGCTGTTTTCTCCTCTCCCAGCGCCATATTGTGGGAGAGCAGATGCATAGAATAAGTCTTAATTCCAGTAATCAGTCCAGTCCGGGTTGCTCCCCACAAAGAGAAGTCTTAGTAAACCTGATTCTTGATCACTGTGAGTCTCACAGTTGCTGGACAGTTGAGTAAAACTTACTGGAGAATTTCTAAGATGGTGAAAGAAAAATGTACTGATTACAGCTTCCAAATGAGTGAGACAGCTAGCCACATGCTCTGTGACTATTAAAATCATAACCATGAACTGTAGTTTTCTGGTGTCATACTGATATCACATGGCATAGACACTAATGCCATTGTCTTGTACCAATAAAAACAAAAAAAGAATGTTGTCATCTACTAAATAGATATTTATCTTACCTGACACTTTAAGTTCATAAGTTGCTTATCCATTATTTAAATGAACACTGAGGAGCTACTATGTGCAAGACACAATATGAGATACTGAGTGAAACATACTTGGGAATCACACATACGCTTAGTTGGAGGACATTCATACATAATGCTTACTCACTTACATATACCCATGCAGCTATAATAAATCATAGAAAATTATTAGTAACCATCATTACAGTGACAAAGAATAACTACTCAGAGAGGGCAGATACTCCAATTGACAGCATAAATCAAAAATTTTGTGGAGCAAGAAGCTTATAAAACATGTCTTGAAGGCTAGGTTAGGTTTGGTCTGTGGAAACAAGAAATAGCAAAGACAAATAAAGAGAAGCTAGAAAGCACACTATTTGTGAGAACAATGTTGACACCAGTTATAACATCTAACACTTACCAACCATTTACCGTGTACTAAGAACATTAAATACATGGTCTCAGCTGATCCTCATAATTCCAAGGGGTTGGTTCTATTATATGTCTGTTTTCATAGAAGGAAACTAAGACCCAGATAAGAAGAATACATTGCTCAAGCTCCCCCATTAAAAGACATAGCAGAATCCAGTGTTCTGGCCTATCGGGTAAAGCTGCTGCCTGTGACCAGGCATCCCATATGAGCACTGGTTCAAGTCTCATCTGAAACACTTTCAATCTTTCATCTTCCTGCTAATGAACCTGGAAAAGCAACAGTAGATGACTCAAGTGCTTGGGTCCCTGCACCTATGTGGGAAACTGTGAAGAACTCTGGGCTCCTGGCTTCAGCCTGACCCAGTCCTGGCCATTGAAGCCACTTGGGGAGTGAACCAGTGGACGGAATATCCCTCTCTGCCTCTTGCTGTCTCCCCTTCTCTCTCCGTAACTATGGCTTTTAAATAAATAAATAAATATTTTATTTTCTTCAAGAAATAGCAGGTTGCTCATGATTTGTGGAGCATGCGTTGTGGCAAGGCAAATGAAAAGTATTTGAAAAGCTCATTGTGACTAGATGCTAAACAGGCTGAAATGCCAGATTGTTTCAGAGAATGAAACTTAGGAGGAACTCAAGTGACCCAAATAAGAAGTTAAAAAAAAATAAGACCCTCTGTGTATTTAAAACAAACAATAGGGGCTGGCGTTGTGGTGTAGTGAGTAAAGCTATTGCCTGCAATGCTGGCATCCCATATGGCACAGATTCATGTCTTGGATGCTCCACTTCTGATAAAGCTCCTTGCTAATGGCCTGGGAATGTAGTGGAAGATGGCTCAAGTGGTTGGGCCCCTGCCACCCACGTGGGAGACCCAAATGAATCTCCTAGCTTCTTTATTTGGCCTGACCCAGCCCTGGCAATTGTGGCCATACGGGTGTGAACCAGAAGATGGTTTACTCTGTGTCTCTCTCTCTTTCTCTGTAACTGACTTTCAAATAATTAAATAAATTTTTCAAAAGGCAGATAACAAAGCTGTTCCATTTATATTATTTAAAATGGCTCAGTATGTGCACCTTCAAGCACTCTCATCAATATCAAAGCAGAAAATCGCATCACATTTGGAAGAGATACAAAACAATACTTTCCAATACAACCCTCTGCTGATGGAGGTAGGAAAACTAAAGCTGAGAGATAATTAGACCACTTTACATGTTTTGTTTGATTTAAGCCTCAAATAAAGATGAAGTATATATGTGGGCCCTACATAATTCTTATCAATTATTTCCAAACTACTATTGAGAACTGACAACTAAAGATTATGCAAAGCCTTAAAGTCCCCTGGCACTCATATACTCTACACACTGCTCTAACAATTCAGTTGTGTGCTTTTATTTACTTTAATCATAATAATGTGATTCTATTGCTCCACTGGGTTCATTGGTAACAAGATATACATAAAGCATTAGGTACAGATAGATCCCCTAAGTGAAATACATTAATCCCTCCCTGAGAATGTTGTAGATAAAAATGCATCAGAACCTCAAAGGGTGCTTTATTTTCGCAGAGATTAGAAAAGTGGTTTGTATTTTTTTCTCTTGTTTGACCAGATATTTAGGAATTAGCTTTCACTAAACTACTTTCAAATTTAAAATGTGTGCTAACACAAATATTTTCCACAAAACATGAAGTTCGTCTTAGATCTTAGATGTGTGCAGCCATCAGTAATTTCATGCAATGGGATTTATATTGAGTTGAATATTTATATTTGGTTTATTATTCCAGTAGCTATGCAGAAATATAGTTGATGGATAGAACACACATCCCCAAAAAGATATTCCAAGTCTCTGTAATTAAATTGTTTAGAATTTTTACTCTGTCTTGAACAGTCTTGTTCAGTATGTTGTTATAATAATAGCTGTATTTTGAGTGATTTTTATCTTTTTACATTTTTATTTGATTTCCTTTGATATAATCAAAAGAGACTTAAGATATCTCCTTCAGAGTTATTCTGTGATCATGATTTTAAGCTCTGATACCTTCAGTATAGCATACATCCAGTGAGATGACCCAACACACAGCTTTCTTACAACCCATAGTACTTCCACACAGGAATCTTATAAAAAATGTAGTATTTCCACCTGAGAAAGAAATTTAGGAGCTTGCTTTTAAAACAGCAAGAGTCATGTAGCCTTGTTCAATTACAGAGATGACTATTAAAGAAGACATAAAAGCAATAGTGTTTCTCTAAATGATCTTCACAAACCAGAAACAAATTTTAAAGGCTCAGAGTTTATTTTAGGTGTTTAAGGCACTTCTCCCCCCAGCTTCTAAATTATTTCCCTTCTATATTGTAGGTTATGTTGTTTTACATATTAGCCTGGTGGATAGTTATGCATCTCAGCCTGCCTAGCCATAAGTATTATTGCTCATTTTAACAATCCAGCATGTTTTTAATATGACATTGGTGTTTGTGGTGGTCCCTTCCAACAGTTATCATTGTACTAAAGTTTGGATGCATACAGGTACTTGAAACTAACTCAGTTTGAAATGACCAAAATGAGAAGAAGTGTTACCATTTACAATGTAACCTTTATTGCCATAGGGAATTTTAAATGGATGTCTGTGAAAATCCCTTCAAACAACTGTGCTGGTACCCAAAACTCAAGCTCATCATGTAGTATTGAACAAAATCAAACCTTGTTTTCCATAATTTCACCATTGTTTTATTTTATATTTACAGTCTTCAGTTTCTAATGCAAGGGTCTTGCTAGGGATTCTGGGGGATTAGGGAAGAGATATAGGGTTTGAAGGAGAGGGAGCAGAGGTCTGGATAGACGACAGTGGTTAACAAAGCTAACATGATGTGAAAGTCTTCCAGAAGAAGTTCTTGCAGCCAGCCTTGCGCTCTCGGGGGGCCATAGCCGGGTTTGAGTTCGCAGATCTCTGCAGCTCCAGCCTCATGTCATCCTGCTCAGCAGCCTGGGACAGATCTTCAGGTTCCAGGGCATCATTCTCCGTCTGGTTGGGCTCAGACAGCAGCTCTGCCAAGAAGTACTTGGCCAGTTCCTGTGTGTAGTACAGAGGAAAGGGAAGGAGAAAGAGAAGGAGGGAAAGGAGAATAAAATAAGAAATGGCAAAACCTCATTTAAAAAGCAAATTGAGTCACACACAAAACCAGGATTTCACATCTGTGTAGCTTTTGTCACTCTTAAAATCAGCTAAGGACAACAACGAGTGTAGCTGCTGTAATCAACAAGTTACACAAAAAGCTTTCAAAATATCAAAATTCGCTGCAAGTTTTGTGTCTCGGTAGGCTACACACACACACACGAGAGAGAGAGAGAGAGAGAGAGAGAGCGAGCTCTTGTTGAGGTAGGTTTCCAAAGATAAAGCAGGTACCAACATTTTAACTCAATTTCCCTATGAGGCACTACAAAAGTGGAGTTGTTCTTAACGTTTTTACTAAGTGAATCCTGGAGGAACCAGACCTCACAGTCGCAACAAATTGCATCTGCAGCCTGTTCTTGCTCCAGTTCCGCTGGTGGGGACAGCTTAGTAGGGTGGCAAGAGACTCGTGCTTCAGCACCAGGGTCAGCGCCCGGTGGTCAGCACCAAGGACAGATGCCAGTCGCCCTTTGCGGTCTTCGAATATTCTTCAATGCTAGGGAAGAACTCACCTGAACTGTAATCGACTGCGCTGATTAGGAAAAAGAAAAAGACATAAGAGGGGATTCCAGGCATTGAAAGTTTTTCCGAGGGTTTTTGGAACTGAGAAACCCAGACAAGCACCAAAACTCTGTAGGACAAATTAATCCCAAAGCAAGAAGACAAGGCTAGGAATCCAGGAGAGGGAAAAGACGTCAAGGGAGTCCCCTTACCTGCTTCCCCGCGGCAGCCGCCAGGGACTTCTGCAGAAACTGACGGAGCCTAGGGTCCGAAGGCGCTCCGGTGACACCGCCCAGAGCCAGGACGATGGAGAGCGCGGCCAGCGCGCACTGCAGGCGACAGGACAGCATCGCGGCGGCGCAGGGAAGCAGAGCTGGGGAGCAGCTGGTCAAACTCCAGGCGCGATCCGCAGGCAGCAGCCACAGCTCCGAACCTCGCGACTCCTACAGCGGCTTCTGTGCGTTCCACCGTCTCCCCCCTTTTAAACTCTGTCTCTGACGTCAACCTAGGAGGCGCCCCCAGATCTCACCAGCGCTTTTACGCACCATTAGCCTCGCAAAATCAATCACAGAAGCGAGGGGAGGCAACACTATCTCAAGTGTTTTTTTTTTAAATCCTGCACAGGCACATACAATTCCACATGCCTCACTATTTATACAATTTTTTATTTCCACTCAGGGCTAGGAATATACACACTCCCTGATTTCACTCATACACATGTGCATGTGTGCACTAAATTACATAGGAACAGAGGCTCAATCAGTCCTTGAAGAGAAAGCACACTGATGTGCAAGTGCACACACATAAATGTGCCCATACCATGCCATCCATCACCCTGAGCAATTGTTTTAGGAGGGCATAGGTGTGCGGGTAAATGGAGGTTTGGATTCATTTCTCTAACAACAGATCTGTGAATGGAATGTGGATGTTCAAAGGACTGAATCAGCTCTTCTTCCTCCACTACTTCTGTTAAAGAAGAACCTCACTTTCCTCAAAAATGGGAGAGAAGGTACTGTTGGCTGATCTTTCCTCCTTCCCTCCTTCTCAGGAACTGAGAAACTTCTGTTCTACGTGTGTGTGTGTGTGTGTGTGTGTGTGTGTGTGTGGAGAGAGAGAGAGACTTCACTTTGGTACTCAGAAACTTGGAGCTGGAAGGCAGTCACAAAAATCATCCAATAAACCTCAGAATTTGAATCCCTAAGGCATAAAATGGGTAGTAAATTTCTCTGGCTCACACACTTCCTAAGTGCACCAAATTCCAGGCTCCCACATTTTAAGACCAAAGCTCTTTCCCTTCAACTCTGAGTTTTCTAACAGATTCTGGCCAGTTGGAGTTTTACAGCACGGAAAAATCCAGGAACTCCCCTGATCTTCCATAACTATGACTTGTGGGTCTCTGTGTGGAAAAAGAATCATCAGATTCTCAGACAGCTCTTTTCCTCCATTAAGCACAAAGAAGCTAAAGAAAAGCTGTCCTAGAATCCTGGTTTTAGCCTGGTTGTGTGCTTGTTGTACAGATCAGAGCTCTGGGTGGTTTTTTTCCCCAAAGTGTTTCCTTATCAAAAAAAAAGGGAAAGCTAATTTCCTGGCATGAACAAGATGCCCTGCAGGTTCTTCAGGGGCTGATATTTTATGAGTATCAGAGAAACCACTATTAGCTAAAAAGCTATGCTGCATCTCCAGCAACCAAGTGAAGCAGAGAACTTGGCCTGTCCTACCATCAGTTATGTGCCACACATTAGAATACTCTCAATATTTAGACCCCAATTCCCGTGTTGAAAGGTGGGAGAGGTTGGGAAGTGTTCTCAGTGGCCTGGACAATCATCACCTTAAGAGAATGCACAGCAAGGAGTGTACAAGTTTCAGAGCTGCCTAAGAACCAAGGGGACACTAAAAGTCACTTACATGGGATGGGGTAGTCTGGGTGAGCAGTGAATCAGGAGTCCTGGACCCCAAAGGAGGAAGTGCACAAATGCACACCATATTCTGAATATGTCCTGGGACCCTCTCCAACCCCCAACTGGGGACTCCAAGTATTGGTGTCAGCTCTGAGATTTTTTTTCTCCCTGGCTCCCAGACTCCTGCTCCTCTCCATCTAATCCTCCTCTCTCCTATTTCTCCTGTTCCCTGACCTTTCCCTAACCTCTCTCCTTCAGTCCTTCTGTCTTCTCTCCATTTCCATCCTCATTCCTCTGTTTTTCTTCCCTCACCCCATCATTTTCTGACTTCAGTCTGGCCCTGGCCGGCTCTGTCCTACCTTCCCACGCCTCTCCCTCCCTTCTCACCCTGCTGAGTCCCTGTGAGTTACTCCTTCTCATCTGCTTCTCATCTACTGTGCTCCTGGTCTCTGACTGTCTAAGTGCCTGCCTGGGACCAGTGCAGTCTGGTTTGCTCCAGTTCAGAGGCTAGGATTGAGAGACTTCTAGGTTTTGTTTTCGTTTTGTTTTATAATCCTTGGATTGTTATGAGTCCAAGAATCACTTCAAAGAGAAGAGAGCTACGATAGAAGAGAACACAAATTCTCCCTTAACACCCCATGGCCTGTTTTAGAGTAAAGGTTGGCTTAGCATAAAAGCGCTTCAAATTTCCACAATGAAGAGCCCTCTGCTGTCAACCCCAGGATCTCTCTCCCAAGTCCCAAAGTGTGGGAAGGATGGATGCTTTGTGGCTTGCTGGGATCCCTGTTTCGCAGAATGTGGTCACTGGGAATCACCTCTCCCCTGCCTAGGCAACCTCTTGAGGTCACAAAGCACATCCTCATGCTGTTCTTACTGTCAGGCCCCTCTGACTTTACCCAGGGCAAAACTGAGGCCCTGGAAAAGCAAAGGAATCTTCCAAATGTTCACGGAAAAAGCATAGTATGAAGAAACTGCATGGTTTTTGAAGTGTTTTTGTGCCAACACAAATGTATCTTTTAATTTTACATTGCCCTGAGTTTGTTGAAGTCCCCTCATGAGTGCCTTGCACAGGGACACACAGCAGGAAGCAGCATGGTCAAGGGGAGAGTTACTCCCCTAACCCAGAGATGGCAGAGACACCCAGCAAGCAGTCTGCAGCCAGGACCCCAGCTGCTTGGACAGCATACAGGCCTCTTTCCTCCACAGCTATCCTGGCCGGAGGCTGATGTCTCACCTCTCCTGTGGAATGTCCATTTGGGTGACTATCTGCCAAGATGAGCAACAGAAACTTCTTTGAACAAGAAACAGTAACATCTGCAAGCAGGAATGGACATTCCATACCAGGCAAGGCAGGGAGGGAGATAGTGTGTGAGCTGGGAGCTGAGAGCCCTGGGTTCTGTTCTGGTTCCACCACAGCTGGCTGTGGGAAGTCCACTTTGGGCCTTGGTTCCCTTGTCTGTGAAAACAGAAGCCCAGTGAATCTTCTTTGCAGTTTCTTCCAACCCCGATCATCCATCAGTTTAAGTCTGAGGAAATAAAAGGCAAACTAGACTACATGCTAAAATGCTATACAATGGGTTAAAGTGTTGACCTTGTATTGGAAAAGAAAATGGTTTTGTGCAATAAGGGGTCGGAGGCTGGGTGCAGAAGGTATTTCGCAGACCTCTCATAAACTTGTGCCTGACTCTTGCTTCTGTTACTGATCTGCCCTCCCCAACTCTGGGCCTCGGTTTCTCCACCGGTAAAATCTGCTCACACAGATTCTTTCTACAAACAAGCACTGAGAAACTGCACTATTTGAGACACTGGTGATACAGCAGTGAACTAGACAGGCATAGCTGCAGTACAAATAATCCATACACGACTAACATGAGTTCCCATTCACAAGAGTTAAAGCAGCATATAGAGCAGGAGGGCGGGGGCAAGACTCCTTTGAGGAGCAACTCCTTGAACAGAGACCTTTCTGTGGTATGGGAGCAGGCGATGCAAATGTTTGAACAAAGCTAACCTCAGCTCAGGAGAGAGGCTCACCAGTGCAAAGGGCCTAAGGCAGAAGTATGCTGGGCACATCTGAACAGCAGCACATGGCAAGGAACCAAGAGCAGAGTGGGTGGAACATAGAGGACCGAGAGGCTAGTCGGCAAGGCAGGCAGCACCAGATCACAGAGAGCCTTACGGGCCATGGTAGGAGAAACTGCTGGAGGATTTTGATCAAGGAACGGATCTGTTTGATTTTAGAAACAATGCCTTCTGTTCAGGGGAGAATCAAGTGCCGGAGGACAAGAGCTAAAGCAAGGGGGTAACTTCTCAGTCTACGACCCAGAGCAACAGGGACAGATAAACATATTCTTCCCCCAGGGCCCCCTGTCCAAGCTGTCTGGTGTGCACAAAGGTACTTCAACACACACACACACACACACACACACACTCTGCCAAGCCCTCTGCAGCCAGGGCTTCTCTCAATCTCCTATGTCCCAGAGGCTGGGAGCTAGGTGCAGTTCTTTCCTTGTAAGCGTCCCCAGCACCATGAGCATAAGAACGAGGACTTGCAATCCTCCAAGGGCTCCCGTCCAGCTGGAGGCGGCCCAGCTCACACCTCTGGAGCCTTGTGTTGTAGCCAAGCCAGGCTTTCTTGCCAAATTGGCTTTTGCCAACTTCTACAAAACCTAGGCTGACATGATTGCGTTTGATTAAAAAAAAAGGGGGTGTACAGCCTGTGAGGTTAACTTTCCCCATGAGAAGGGGTGGGTGATGACATCCTAGGCCTGGTCTCTTACAGAAGTCCCCTGTCTGGTCTGTACCCTGTCACCTTTGGGCTCAGCAACTTTCAAGGACCCCCACCTACCCACTCAGTGCCAACCATACAACTGCAAACACATCAGCTCGACAGTCAAGTTTCCTCAGTCTCATCCTCTGTCACTCCTCATCTGCCAGCACTCCTAGCTCCCCCAAGCAACTGCTGTTTCCTGCATGCACTTGTCTTTTCCCTTACGTGCTCAAAGGTGCTGCTCCCTGGAATACGTTGACCTATCCTTGACAGCTGAGGTCATGTAGCTTGTTCGAAGATGTTCCCAAGGCCTCTCACTTAGACTCAACATGCCCTTTCCTGTGCAAACAGTGAGTCTTTTATGTCCCTAGCAGGCAGCCTCGTAGATCTTCACAGTTCTGCTCCTTGAGAGTCTGGAGGTCTCATCCCTGCAGGCAGAAGCCAAGTTCACATCTACCTAGAGACCATGTTGAGCAGAGGGCAGGCGTGTGGCCCAGTAATTTAGACATCAGTTAAGTTGCCTGTGTCCCACATCAGGGCACCTGGGTTCAACACCTGCTCTAGATCCTAAGAAAGGCCTTTGAGAGAGAACCAGTGGAGAGTGCTCTTGCTCTTTTTCGCTTTCTCAAATAGGTACACATTTACATTCATAAAAATATATAAATAAATAACCTTCCTAAACATGTGAAGAACAGAGTAGTTCTTGAAGGATGAGGACTGGGTTGAAGACAAGCCTCTCTCCTTATGTCTGAGGACTCTGAGGTAGGACAAACACCACAGATCTCCGTAAGTGGGGATGCTGTCT